TGGTAATTTAGGTGTACACTTTACTAGTGACTGTAGTTGTAATTTAGGTGTACACTTTCCTATGGAGTGTAGTGTTAATTTAGATGTATACTTTACTAGTGAGTGTAGTGGTTATTTAGGTGTACACTTTACTAGTGAATGTATGGGTAAATTAGGTGTACACTTGATTTTGGAGTGTAGTGGTTATTTAGGTGTACACTTTACTATGGAGTGTAGTGGTAATTTAGTTGTACACTCTCCTATGGAGTGAAGTGGTAATTTAGGTGTACACTTTCCTATATAGTGAAGTCGTTATTTAGGTGTACACTTTACCATAGTGTGTAGTGGTAATTTAGGTGTACGCTTTACTATGGAGGGTAATGGCAATTTAGGTGTACACTTTCCTATGGAGTGAAGTGGTAATTTACGTGTACACTTTACTTTGGAGTGAAGTGGTAATTTAGCTGTACCCTTTACTAGTGAGTGTAGTTATAATATAGGTGTACACTTTACTAGTGAGTGTAGTGTTAATTTAAATGTATACTTTACTAGTGAGTGTAGTGGTTATTTAGGTGTACACTTTGCTAGTGAGTGTATGGGTAATTTAGGTGTACACTTTACTATGGAGTGTAGTGGTAATTTAGGTGTACACTTTCCTATGGAGTGAGGTGGTCATTTACGTTTACACTTTACTTTGTAGTGAAGTGGTAATTTAGGTGTACACTTTACTAGAAAGTGTATGGGTAATTTAGGTGTACACTTTACTAGTGAGTGTAGTGGTTATTTAGGTGTACACTTTAATAGTGAGTGTATGGGTAATTAAGGTGTACACTTGACTATGGAGTTTAGTGGTTATTTAGGTATACACTTTACTATGGAGTGTAATGGTAATTCAGGTGTACACTTTACTATGGAGTGTAATAATAATTTAGGTGTACACTTTCCTATAGAGTGAAGTCGCAATTTGGGTGTACACTTTACTATGGAGTGTAGTGGTAATTTAGTTGTACACGTACTATGGAGTGTAGTGGTAATTTAGTTGTACACTTTACTATGGAGTGTAGTGGTAATTTAGGTGTCTACTTTACTATGGAGTTAAAATGTAATTTAAGTGTCTACTTTACTAGTGAGTGTATGGGTAATTTAGGTGTACACTTTACAATGAAGTGTAGTGATTTTTTAGTTATACACTTAACTATAAAGTGTAGTGGTTATTTAGGTGTACACTTTAATGTGGAGTGTAATGGTTATTTAAGTGTACACTTTACTATGGAGATAATGGTAATTTAGGTTTACACTTTCCTATATAGTGTAATGGTAATTTAGGTGTACAGTTTACTATAGAGTGAAGTCGTTATTTAGTTGTACACTCTCCTATGGAGTGAAATGGTAAATTAGGTGTACACTTTCCTATAGAGTGAAGTAGTAATTTAGGTTTACTATAGTGGGTAATGGCAATTTAGGTGTACACTTTCCTATTGTGTGAAGTGGTAATTTACGTGTACACATTACTATAGAGTGTAGTTGTTATATATGTGTACACTTTACTATGGAGTGTAGTGGTAATTTACGTGTACACATTACTAGTAAATGTATGGGTAATTTAGGTGTACACTTTACTAAGGAGTGTAGTGGTTATTGAGGTGCACACTTTACTATAGAGTGTAGTGGTAATTTAGGTGAACACTTTACTATGGAGTGTAGTGGTAATTTAGGTGTACCCTTTACTATTGAGTGTAGTATTAATTTAGATGTATACTTTACTAGTGAGTGTATTGGTTATTAAGGTGTACACTTTACTAGCGAGTGTTTGGGTAATTTAGGTGTACACTTTACTATAGAGTGTAGTGGTACTATCAAGAACAATGCAAACTGTGGCATGACCATTTCAAAAACTGTATGTTGAATATATTGTTAATGTTTGGGTAAGAAATGACATCATTTTGACACATTTATTAGGGCACACTCACAGCCTTAATATTGGAAACAATGAAACTTATATGAATTTAAATGTTCTCTTACTTCCAGGTAGTTTTTGACATATCACAAATATATGCATAGCTGGTATGATAGACAAGTTATATGCATAGCTGGTATGATAGACAAGTTATAATGATGATTTCAACGACCAATCATTCCAAGATATTACCTAATTCGGACTCACCTGGAATATGGAGTTCACAGCGCAGCAAGCAATGCTAGTCAATATAAAATAATGGCCGACGTGCTAAATATAGAAATCTATGGCCGTTCTTTTTAAGAACGGTGATACATGTACACACTCATATTCTGTTAAGTTTATATTCATTATTTCAATAATACTCTACCTGATATTACAAGGACGAGGTGGAACTGTACGTGTGTTTTCCAAAGACGTGCTCAATCACTTGTAACACCTGTTTACAAGATTACTGGAGCAGTGCACAGTCATAGATAAACTCAAGGGCTATTGATTTATTATGACCGGGTATAACTGCAAAAAAGGTTACGCACCGGATATTGCACAACAAATATTTTGCACAGTCAAAGTTAAGGACTCTCAACCGTTTAAATAGAACCGGCTGATATGCTTCAACAACTACATTACAATGCTGGTGTGGTAATGATATAGTTTTCGACGTAATGGTTTTCTATACACCTACGAAGGTTTCGAGGAAAAAACAAAACCAACTACAAACAAACAAACAGAAAAAAGGGCAACATTTTTTTTTTAAATCTTACCATACAATGCTTTTATCATTTAACAGATGAAGTTCATTTTTACTTTTCCAATTCTTTTATAGATAGCACATACTCATCTTAAAACAGAACACGGTATGTTTACATGATAAAATGTTGCCCTTTTTTCTGTTTGTTTGTTTGTAGTATTTTGTTTTCTTTTCTAGCGAAACCTTCGTAGGTGTATAGAAAACCAATACGTCGGAAACAATATCCTTACCACACCAGCAGTGTAATGTAGTTGTTGAAGCTTATCAGTCGGCTCTATTTAAACGGTTGAGAGTCCTTAACTTTGACTGAACAAAATTATCCTGTGCGTAACCTAGTTTGCAGTCTACCCGGTCATAATAAGTCAATCGTCCTTGGATTTATCTATGACTGTGCACAGTTCCAGTAATATTTTAAACAGTGATTAAGCACGTCTTTGGAAAACGCTCGTACAGTTCCACCTCGTATTATCAGGTAGAGTATTGTTTAAATAATGAATATCAACTTAACTGTTCTTAAAATGACGGCCATAGATTTGTATTTCTATATTTAGCACGTCGGCCATTATTTTATATTGACTAGCATTGATTGCTGAGCTACATATTCCAGGTGAGTCTGAATTAGATGATATATTGGAATGATTGGTCATTGAAATTAACATTATAGCATGCCCATCATACCAGCAATGTATATATGTGCGATATGTCAAAAGCTATCTGGAAGTAAGAAAACGTTTAATTTCTTATAAGTTTTATTGTTCCAATATAAAGGCTGTGGGTGTGCCCTAATAAATGTGTCAAAATGATGTCATTTCTTAGCCAAACATTAACAATATATTCAACATACAGTTTTTGAAATGGTCATGCCACAGTTTGCATTGTTCTTGATACATGATCATCAAACTATCGCTGTCTTTTTTTATTATTTCAAGGGACAATCATTATCCCATTACAAATTTTAAACGCTGACATGAGTCTGAAATACCTTGACTACAGTTTTATCGATACAGTGTATTTGTAAACTCGATACATATTTAGCGATGCATAGACGCACAAGATATTCACCTAAATTACCACTACACTCCATAGTAAAGTATACACCTAAATTACCATTACACTCCATAGGAAAGTGTAAAACTAAATTACTATTACACTCCATAGTAAAGTGTACACCTAAATTACCCAAACACACACTAGTAACGTGTACACCTAAATTATCACTACACTCCATAGTAAAGTATACATCTAAATTACCATTTCACCCCATAGTAAAGTCTGCACCTAAATACCGACTTCACTCCATAGTAAAGTGTACACCTAAATTACCCAAACACACACTAGTAACGTGTACACCTAAATTATCACTACACTCCATAGTAAAGTATACATCTAAATTACCATTTCACCCCATAGTAAAGTCTGCACCTAAATAACGACTTCACTCCATAGCAAAGTGTACACCTAAATTACCATTACACTCCATAGGAAAGTGTAACCCTAAATTACTATTACACTCCATAGTAAAGTGTACACCTAAATTGCCATGACACTCCACAGTAAAGTGTACACCTAAATAACGACTTCACTCCATAGGAAAGTGTACACCTAAATAACCACTACACTCCATAGAAAAGCGTACTCCTAAATTACCATTACACTCCATAGTAAAGTGTACATCTAAATTATCCATACCCTCACTAGTAACGTGTACACCTAAATTATCACTACACTCAATAGTAAAGTATACATCTAAATTACCATTTCACTCCATAGTAAAGTCTACCCCTAAATAACGACTTCACTCCATAGTAAAGTTTACACCTAAATTACTGTTACACTCCATAGGAAAGTGTAAACCTAAATTACCATTACACTCCATAGTAAAATGGACACCTAAATTACCATTACACTCCACAGTAAAGGGTACACCTAAATAGTCACTACAATCACTAGTAAAATGTACACCTAAATAACCACTACACTCACTAGTAAAATATACATCAAATTACCACTACACTCCATAGGAAAGTGTACACCTGAATTACCATTACCCTCCATAGTAAAGTGTACACCTAAATTACCACTTTACTCCATAGGAAAGTGTACACCTAAATTACTGTTACACTCCATAGGAAAGTGTAAACCTAAATTACCATTACACTCTATAGTAAAATGGACACCTAAATTACCATTACACTCCACAGTAAAGGGTACACCTAAATAGTCACTACAATCACTAGTAAAATAAACACCTAAATAACCACTTCACTCACTAGTAAAATATACATCAAATTACCACTACACTCCATAGGAAAGTGTACACCGCAATTACANTGCGTAAGTGCTGTCACAGAGTCACATTATATGCAAACCACAATCGGTACAGCTGCATCACTCGACAGAGGAAAGTCAGAAACGAGCCAATCAATGATAGACCATGCTATATATCTGATCAGGTGGTTCATCGATAAATTACTAATCTTTGTGAGACTTGAACAGACAGTTTCTCCCTCTGCAATATTCTTAGAAGTGGTGTGTGCTTGGATTCCTTGGATTGCATACATAATAAAACCGTTTCAAGTTTTACGACTGGGAGTAAAAAATCAAGGGTTGCTGTTCATTTTGAGTATTTACTATTGTACCGGTGCATTTTTTGTCAATTCCAATAGTATATCT